ATCAGTGTTGGGTGACCTGTAGGGGGCGCTGTGGACCTGTGGAGTCACTCAGGGTTTTGTGGGAATTGTGGCTTGTCAATGATATTGTTGTACTGATGTGACAACAGATATTGTTTCTCTGAAGGGACAACGTAAAAGGACATTGATCATTTCTATTTAACATAGAACTTAATCTTTCATTGTCATTTACTGTGTGTTCAATTCAGGCTGATGTTTATCAGATAACTTTCTGTATTCTATAACAAACAACTGCCTCATTGTTGAAAAAAAAAAACCAACAACTTATTTTTCCCCTGTAAAAACATCACATTTGTGTTTATTGCCAAAAAATAGATGACACTTGGAAGCAAACATCATCAGACTGTTGTCATTCCACTCATGTTATCTTATTACCAAGAAAAGTGGTTTAAAACAAGTGGCTTCAACAGAAGTTTTGTCTCCACCTACTTGCACTGAGAACAACTACACAAACGCTGTTGACACAATCGTATAACAAACATCTTTTTAGACTGTAATCCTTCCTCTGGAACCTGAGTTTCTTCGTTATCTGGAGGACAACGAGATTCAAAGAACTGAATGTACAAACTAGAATCAGCTGAGAAAGAATTCACGCAGATAAACACAACGTGAGTAAACAGACAAACTGGTAAAGAAAAAGAGAAACAAGACTTTTTAGACACAAAGAGCAAATTGGGGAAACAAGACAAGTAAATCAAAAGAGGAGGGAAACAGACAAAGGGTAGAAGTCAAACATATTAAAAAAATACAAGGATTTTCACAAAATACAGTAAAAACAGAACCAAAGACCACGACACAACCACTGCCTTGTATTTTATATAAACTTCATACAATAATCACTACAGATTTACTACTGATTTAGTGAAAATGATCATTTTTTTCCACCTTTCTTCCACTAAAAATAATATAAATATGATGATGTGATTCATGACAAATAACCACGTTCCCTTAGTGAAAGGAAAATGTGATTTTTCTCTGTTGTTGTCTCTATTAAATATCCAAAAAGGCAAACAAGAAGCAGAACAAAAGCAACGTAAAGATTAAAGCTTCAAGAGAAAGTTGTTTTTTTTTTGGTTAAAATGATTTGAATAAGATCATGAGAGCAAAGTGATGCTTCCTTAAATCATCAGACCTTCAGTCTCCTCCCCTTTAACTTGATCCCATATCATGTGTTCAACCAGTCAGTCAATGCACAGACAAAGAGGAAGATAAAGACGTCATGATGACAAACTTCAACANCCTCCTTTCATAAGGTGGCAGTATAACTTTACTCAGACTTGTTGATTATACGAATAGGCTGAGGATATAGTAAGACTCCACCCATTTCGTGATGGTTTCCTCATGGGAAGGGAAAAAAAAAAAAAAAGGAGGTACAACTGCTGATGCGCTGAGAAGATCTGTCATAGCAAGAGTACAATTATTGCCAAACAAAAAAAGACACCATGATCATTCTATTCTTCAGCATTCTTTTTAGCATTCTAGTCTCTGGTAATTTAATGCATTTTAATCAACTTATATTTTTATTGCGTTGGCAGCCAGTATTACACAGTGCTGCTACTCTAGCTGTAACTGGATTATGCTTTGTTATTTTACTACATTACTGAATCTATCACAATCATTTTTTGTTCAACAGGTTCCTCGTTCAGCGACAAAGTCCGTCAGACTCCAGCTAACATTTACGACAAACCAGGACAAACAGCCAAAATCCAATGTTCACACAATATTCCAAACTACTACAGAATCCTCTGGTACAAGAAGTTAGAAAGACAGCTGCAGCTCCTGGGATATATGGATTATGGCAACGCTAGTCCAGAGCCTGGACTGGATGTGAAGATGGATGGAGATGCAAGTCAAGGCAGGAACTGTACATTAACTATTGAAAACCTCAGTGTGAACAGCAGTGCAGTTTACTTCTGTGCTGCCAGTCTGCACAGTGCTGCATAACACCGATCCTCAGTACAAAAACCTCCTCGTCTCACAGTTTTCATTTCTGTACAACAGTTAACACCTGGAATAAGCCATTCTAACCAACGTTGGTCTCACACAGATCAGATGATATAATCCTCATGTGCAGTAATGCAACATTTAACCTGCAACATCCGGGTAGAAGAAGCAAACTCATTTTAACACTATGATAAATCAAACACTCACAAGTTGCCCCCCAGCTGCTGGAACTGTTATTTTATTGTTAATTTTGTTCTATTTTATTAAGTACAGTTTTGATATTTATACATATTTTATTATTTTATTTAACGATTATTTTGAATAACTATTATTCATTTGATTGTGCTTTATTTTATTCTCATTTTCGAGTGTTTCACTAGTAATCAATTTATTTATTTCACAATTTTATTTTTATTGTAACTCCTGTTGGGCTAAAAATCCATCTATTCAGACTTTTGTGAAACATTCTCTAATTTTGCAGTTTTAATATTTGCACTTTTTAATTTTTTATTTATTTATTTTTTTTGACATTTTACAGTTTTCTACTTATCGGTTTATTTCATAATTTTATTTTTATTTTAAGTCTTGAATAAAATACATTTGAAAGGAAGCATCTACTTAGTTTGTTTCTTATTATTGAAGTGTTCTGTAACTTCATTGCTTGGGTATTTAATATGATTTATTAATCATCATTATTATTTATTTTTACTCTTCTATTCCCTTTTTACAGTTTTTCTAACACTGATTAATTTATTTAATAATCTTATTTTTATTGTATTTATTAGTGCTTGTATAATTATTATTTATTTATTCATATTTATGTTCTATTTTCTTAACCACTCATGTCCTATTTGCCTGTTTTAACACTTAATATAGTAAAAGGCAACGTGCTGCAAATAGTTTTCTAGTCTAATAGTGTGTGGGATTAGAACTAGTCTTTGTTGTGTTCCTTCCTTTCTTTAGATGGCACTATATCTGTACTGAAGCAGTGGTGAGTGCTGCTAGATGACTGGTTTCAGAGTTTAGAAAAGAAGGAAGCACTATGACATAAAACCACCTTAAAGGTTGTGTTTGTGTCACTGATGGGAGGGCTTCCTCACATAAGGAGGTGGACATAATCAGCATAACAGCACATACTGTTATGGAGGCAATATCAACTAGACTGATGTTAAATTCAGTCAGAAAACACCACATCATGATCATCTTCTACTGTATAATCCTAAATGTGATGCTGGTTTCAGGTAATAAAGCCTTATTTGTTCTTTTAAAACATGTTTTTTTTTTCCTCCTGTTATCTTCTTTCTCATGTTTCTATTATTTGCAATCATTCTCACATAATGCGTTTTCATTCAACAGGCTCTTCTCTGAGTGACAAGGTCGATCAGAAACCATCTGAAATGTACATCGAAGCTGCAAAAACAGCCAACATCAGCTGTATACACGATATTCAAGACTACACCCGAATCTTCTGGTACAAGCAGTCAGAGAACCATCGGATGCAGCTCCTGGGATATATGAATGTAAACCAGGAAAATCTAGAGGATGGGGTGAATGTGAAGATGCACGGGGGAGCAACTAGAGGCCAGACCTGCACATTAACCATCAAAGACGCCAGTCAGAGCAGCAGTGCAGTTTACTTCTGTGCTGCTAGTCGACACAGTGCTGCATATCGACGCTTCTCAATACAAAAACCTCCCAACAACAGATTTCTTTCATCTCAGTCTAGCGGCTCACAGCTCCTTGCACCTGTATGAGCCCGTCTATCCAACACCGCTCTGCTGTCTCATCCACATCTGGTATTATAACGGGAAGTTTCTTATGTGCTTCTCACCAACAGCATCAGATGTTCAGTGGGCCTCCAATGGATCTCATTTCACTCATTGTTTTAATGAGAATTCAAAATATCATCAAGTATGAATTTTAGTGTTCCAGTAGCTCATAACTTCAAAACTATTATCATTTGTGTTACTGTCAATTTGATTAAAAAGTCACAACTGCCCCCATCTTTAAAATCTTAACATAACTCCCAAATTAATCAGTTTTTGATTGGGTAACACAAAGTCAATGTTAGCTGGGAACTTTTGTGCAACTAATTACCAAATGCACAAATAAGGAGAATAATGCATTATTATTAATAATGATGATTTAAATCAAACGCTGATCAAATGCTGATTTAAATCAAACAACTGTGTCAATCTACAGTCATACATTGAGAAAGAACAAAATGCACATTTTTATGGTCAACATGTAAATAAATGTCTCATTTTTGTGATTTTACTCGATATTATCTGTAATTTAACATAACAGGAAACATCTGTCAAATCACTGTTTAAAAAAGTATTTGGCATTTTCCAAACCTGATATGCATAATTTTCTTTCTAAATATTAGCAAATGTCTGTTAAAAATTAATAAATAAATAAAATATACACTTTTTTTGCGGATTCAAATACGGTTAAAAAAATAAATAAAAAAATACAGACTTGTAAAGTGGATATAATTTACAGTTTTGGTCCGTTTTCTTTTGCAGTTAACATGTAAAGTATTTTTTCCCTGTGATTTCACTAGTGATCTGTGATTTTTTTATTTTATTTTTTTTAAATAAATAAAAAAGGAAAAAAAATATATTTCATTGACCCAGTCACGTCAGGTACATTTAGTTACATAGTTTGTAATATTAAAACCATGAACCACTGCAACCAAGCCTGAATTGAGCTGAACTGAGGAAAAGCGTATTTTTTCTTTTGAATCCTATTTTATCTGGAGTCACTGAAAAAATTTGACAAAGTCTCATTTTAATGTTAAGTTAAACCATTAATTGTCTACAACCATCCAAATGCATTACTTCAACAATTCTACTGAACCACCTTTACTGTATTATTACACAAAAAAACATGACTAATTGAACAGAACTTTTTAGAAATGCATCGTCTTGCATGCAGCTTTCACTATTACAGGTCTGTGTTGTTCAGCTTCCTTTCATTAGGTGGCAGTGTTTCTTCGTGTGGTGGCTGCTAACATGTTGAATCACTGTGACACCGCCCACCTATTTTTCTGACAGAAATCAGTCTGCCAGTATTTACTGTGGTGAAAACACAGAACTTTGGTCAGAGAAAACGACACCATGATCATTTTCTTGTGCATAAGCTTTCATTTTCTTCTGGTTTCAGGTAAAAATCGGTCTTCTGCAGCATTTGTTTATTAAAAAGTGCCTTTTTGTGCAGCAGGTATGTTACTGTTAAAGTGCATGCTAAAGGCTAAAAGAAGCACATATTTATGCATGGAAGTATAGCAGTTTTAAAATAACTCCAGCTGCATGTGCAAACTTGTGCGACTTCCTCAGTCACATCATTATTTGTGACGACTCATCCTCGTTGTTTTTCTCGTCTTTTCCACAGGTTCCTCTCTAAGTGACCGAGTTTTTCAGACTCCAGACCACATTAGTAAAGAACCTGGAGAAGAAGCCAAAATGAACTGTTCCCACACTATTCAGGGCTACGACCGGATCCTGTGGTACAAGCAAACGAGGAACAGCCCGCCGCAGTTCCTGGGACACGTGTACGTGACCGTAGTGAATCCAGAGCCTGGACTGGATGTGCAGATGGAAGGAAGCGCGAGCGAAGGCCAGACCTGCACATTAACGGTTAAAGATCTCAGCCCAAACAGCAGCGCCGTGTATTTCTGTGCTGTCAGACTACACGATGCTACATACCACCTCTCCTCAGTACAAAAACCTCCTTATCTGTGTTTTCCGTACAGCTCTCAGTCCTTTGCACCTGTTCGAACTCCTTCTAATCAACAGAGTGTTTCCTCCTTTAAGGGGAGGTTCCTGCTGTGAAGTATTTAACCTCCGTCTGATATTCAGTGCATCTGCAGCGGCAAGTTAAAGGATCGCTATGACGACTCAAGTTCTCATCACACTCGTAGCCTCCGCTCTGTGGATCCAAGGTACAAAGTAAACATTTTGATTTATTTTCTAATAAAATGTGCAGAAAGTTAGGCTGAAAAATCTGCAAAAAAGAATTTGCAATATGAATCATAATTTGTCACAGGAATTGGAATTTGTTTGGGGGTTTTTTTCCACTGGAAAAAACTATTTAAAAAATTCTGAGATGTTTGCTGTGGTTTGTACAAAACAAACATGTTCCTATAAGTCTGGAGAACATGATCTGCAGGCCGGGGCAAATGTGCAGCTCCACAATGCTTCATTTATAATAGTATTTTGTATTTTTTGTGTATTTTATTTAAAAATCTCTTCATCATATTGTGAATATTGCAGTAATATATGTGATTAACTATTCATTTATTGTGTATTTATTTAGAGTATAAATGATCTTTCCTGCTTTGGTCATGCTTTCTTGTTTCTTAAATGTTAACCTCAACAGCTGAACAAGTTTTCAGTAAAAACTAGATGTGTTAAAACATTTTAAAACTTTTTCTAAATGTCATGTAATACCTGACAACATTTGTCCTTATGTAAAAAAAACAAATGCATAAAAATTACTGCATCACTGAATACTGACAAAAGTAAAATATTGCAAATTATATAAATTAATAATGAAATTCTGTTTAAAGTTCATTGCCAGGATGTGACCCAATCCCCTGACATCAGCTGGAGCTTTGCATCCCAATCAGCAGAGATGAACTGCAGCCACAAAAAGGACTTTTCTTATAACCAGATGTACTGGTACAGGCAGCGACCAGGGGAGACCATGAGGCTCATCGTCTACACAGCTGCTGGTGGCCAGCCGGACTACGGTGGAGTGTCTCAAACTAAATACACAGCAAGCAAAGAAAAATACGACTACGGGGCTCTAACGGTGAAAGATCTGCAGCCTGAAGACAGCGGAGTGTATTTTTGTGCCGTTGGCAAACACAGTGATATGAGAAGTACGAGCAGCTGTACAAAAACTACTTGCCAATAAAGTGGGTGTATCAGAAACCAGATGTTGACTTTTACATTTTTCCTATAGGTGGCGCTAGCGTTCAAGAAATACTTCAGCTTCACATGGAGCACCATGAAATATGATGTGGCTGGTATAATATGATTTATTAGACAACGAGCTGACAGGAAGCAGAGCGACTCAGCGTTCAGGCAGACAGAACGTCAACGTGCAACTTTATTCTCACTGTCTCGGCTCATTGGTACTTACTTTAATCATTCAAGAAAACCAACTAACCTATCACTTCTGCATTGATTATTGATTTTTTTTCTGTTTATAGATGCTTGTCAGGGTCTTCAGGTCCATTAGTGTCCCTCTTATTGCATCACAAAGTGCAGCTTTTCTGCAGCCATCATAAAACTAAATGTATAACGTACCAGTGCTCCTGCATTGTACCTGCTTTTATAGGATTCAGTTGTAAGACTGCATTTGTTGGACATTAACTCTCATTAACTGTCTTTTTGAGCCAAAAAAAACTCCCCCCAAAAAAAAACAGGAAACCACTTGTTCACTCCAAATACAAACTAGATTTTGTAGCACAGGAAAAAAACAGTACAGTGTTGGGTGGAATAATCCTTTAAACCCATAACTTATTCATTAGAAAGAACTATTTGGGTAAAAAACATTGTTTAACCCATGACTTTATAGTTAGTAAGTACTACTGAAGTTAAACACACCTTTAAAACCATAAGTTTTTGGCAAAAAACTAATAATATATATATATATATTTTGATGAAATATGCCTTTAAAACTTGCTAAAAAGAAAAAGTACTATTTGGATGCAATAAGCCTTTAAAAACAAATAGCTTGTTCGCTAGAAAGTACTAGCTGGGCAGAACAATCCTTTACAGATAAGAACTTGGGCAGAAAGCAGCATGTAATGTGGAATAATCCTTTTTTTTTAAACTATCAGTGGTGTTACTGGTAAAATAAATCTTTAACAGTCTTTTTTTTTATTTATATAAAGCACCATTTGGGGGAAAAAAAGCACCTTTAAAACCATTACTTATTCACTAAAAACTATGATATGGGGCAGAATAAACCTTTCCAGCTGTAAGTACTTCGGCAGAAAGTAGCTTTTGGGTGGAATAAACCTTTTAAAACTATCAGTGGTGTTTCTGGTACAATAAACCTTTAATAATAAACTTTACTTATTTATATCAAGTACTATTTGGGTGAAATACACCATAACCTGTTTGCTAGAATGTACTATTTGGGCTACTGGGTAGTTGTGCAAGAACGACTCTCCTACAGTCCCAATAAATGGAGTTGAGGAGAGAGCAGTTTACTACGATGCAACTTTCATCCTAATGTATTCAAAAACTACACATCTAATTTAAACGTAGACCTTGAACAGGCCCCTCCCAGCCCTTCTGAAGCTTTCATCTTTGTCAGCTAATTGTAATTGTGTCTCTTCATCACTTCCGTTTCCTCCTAAAAAGTCAGTTCAGTCGAGGCATCAGTTGAATCCTCGCTGCTACGAGCATCGCAGCCATTGTGAGCTCATGTCACAACCCTGACATGTCATGTGAAGTTTGAGGAAGAAAAAAAATGATTGTTTTTTTCTTTTCAATTTGTCTGGCAGGTAAAATCTTTTTTTTTAAATGTATGTGCAAACAGTATTTTGCTTCAATGTGATTAAATTAATCTATTCTTGTTTGTGGTCCAGGTGTTAGTCTGGGTCTGGAGGTGCGTCAGTCTCCCTCTGGAGTCATCACAACACCTGGAGACAAAGTGGAGATCTTCTGCTACCATGATAAAACTGACTACAGGGTGATGCTCTGGTACCAGCGGCCTCCTGGAGACACAGCCATGAAACTCATTGGATATTTGAACTATGAAGATGACCAAATGGAAGAAGCGTACAGCAAGGATTTCACTATCTCCGGAGATTTAAGTGGCAATACGGCAAAAATCAACTTACTTGCAGTCAGACCTGCAGAACACAATCACAGCGCAGTTTACTATTGTGCAGCAAGAAAAGCACGCTGACAAAAATCCCCTCTGAACTTTACAAAAATTGCACGTTAATCATCAGTGGTTTAAAAATGACAGGGAATAAACCGCCCTCACACACCTGCTCCTGTGGTCGTACCATCGTTTGGTATAATCCACAGGAAGAGATGCTGTTTGAACACTAAACACTTCCTTTCCTGCAATCTGGTGATTTTTTTTCTGCATCAATTTGTCCCTGTTTTGCATCAGTTTATGATGAAAATCTCTTTATTTAGGGATTACTCAACTTCTCTGATTTTAATGTTAGCCCTATTGCTTCAACACGTGCACATTTCTGCAACAATTCTCCTGAAAACATCTATGTTTATGTGAACGCAGACACCAGGTGGCAACACTAAATTCTAGTTATTCCTAGTGTTGATCAACTTTTCCTGCTGAATCAACGCACATATACAGTAGATAAGATTTATTCTTCTGTCCTCTTTTGTGACTTTTGTTTGGGAAAGTCACATCTTTAATTGTGAAGGTGGAACCTTCCAATGTCAATAATAAACCAACTCATTTTAAATAAATTGTGAATCTGAGGACTTGAATAGCGAGGTTGGAAGACCTGCCCCTCCCTGAGGCGTTGTCATGTCTATGATCAGACATTAAATGTTTTGCTTTTTTCTTGGGGGGAACAAATGCACATGCTCTAAATACTGAGAAGGACATCTTCCTGAAATCTAGCATGTAATAGTGTCACCATAAGCTAACGTGACTGTGTTTCTGCTTTGTTTCATTTTTTTTTTTTTTGTACAGATTCTGATTTATAATGAAATGCGCCAATAGCTCAAAAGTGCTGGAGACATTGCAGGTTTTCCAAGGCAAATCATCCCCGTATATTTTGGACTTGGCTGTTATTTTAGAAATTTTGAATAAAGCATTGTGTTGAATATTTCATCAGATCTTATACTTCAGTGCTCTACCTCCAATGGTGGATCTCTTTTCCGGATTTTAAGTCATTACTAGAAAGTGGTAATGACCAGAAATACCTACAACAGATGATTGGGTTAACATTATTTACAATATCTTCAATGTAAACGTAATTACGTTTATGATCGGACTGCAACAGGACAAGTTTTTTAAATAGTTATCTTCTTTTCTCCCTCATTTTACTTGTATTTTTATTTATTTTATTTGTCCTTATATGCTTCTGTGCTTATTTAAAGTCTTTATTAATGCTTATGGTTAAAATGTTTTTGCGTAGGTCCACTTAGGTTCTTATACCAAAGTCTTAAAATAAAGAAATGTGCCAAAAGCCTAACATCTTTTATCAGATGAAAGAAAGAGTCTTTATAGATCAATCATATGAAGCCACTCCTCCTCTGTCTACATCACCTTTGCTTCCTCCTTATATTGATCTCAGTAGTGAAAACATTAACAGCAAAGACCCCAGAATAAACCACATACTGCATTGTATGACTTTTTAATATAGGTCCAATGTCAAATCTCTGCATGATGATACGATTTCTCTTTTGCCATTTCCTGACAGGTAACAACTGCTTCACTGTGGACTGAAATATGTCGTCTTTCACTTCATGCTTAACAATAATCTGTCCAACTGTGTTTACAGCAGGTTTTTCTCTGGGAGTTCAGGTCAATCAGTCTCCCTCTGCTGTGATCAGAAAGGAGGGCGACGAAGTTCAGATGCTCTGCACACATGAACGACGCGACTACAGAGTGATGCTGTGGTACCAGCAGCCACCTGGAGAAAAGGCTGTGAAACTCATCGGACATGTGGAATACGCCCAAATAAACTATGAGGAATCATATAAAAAGCATTTTAACATCACTGGAGATATGAGCGTAAACACAGAAAAGAACGGCTCTCTGTTCATAGTGGATGTGAAAGCGTCTGAACACAGTGCCGTGTATTACTGTGCAGCTAGATATGCACACTGAGGCAGATCTGCTTTTAACTGCACAAAAACATCTTTTATCAACTGTGGTTTGGTGCAAAAAAAATCTTGAAACAACTTCCAGCCAACCAGCTGCTCTCAGATTCTCTGTCATGTGACGCTTGCATCACTTCCTGCTGGGGTTGTGCATGTGCGGTCATAACTCTCATCATTATCATTACAGACGTCTTAAATCTGCATGAGAAAAACAGCAAAAATGATTGTTTTTCTTCTAATTTGTTGTCAGCTTACAGGTAACGTCAACTCTTCTCGAGGTCAAGAAGTTTCTGTTTGGTTTCAAGTGAAGCTTACTTTTGTCTGTTTTTGTAGGTTTTTCTGTAGGCGTTCAGGTCAATCAGTCTCCTGCTGTCTTTAAAAAGGAGGGTGAAGAAGTTCAGCTTCTCTGCACACATGAACAAACCGACTACAGGGTGATGCTGTGGTACCAAAAGTCACCTGAAGACAAGGCTCTGAAACTCATCGGATACGGATATGGACAGTTCTACTCCGACAGCGTGGAAGAGCCGTTCAGGAAAGATTTTAAATTAGCTGGAGATCTGAACGCAGAAAGCACAATAAATGTTTCACTTTCCATTAACAATCTGACGGCACACGCACACACTGCGACGTACTTCTGTGCGATCCGAGAAGCACAGTGCAGCAAACATCCATCTGCGCTTAACAAAAACCTCTTCCTCGCTCGCCTCTTCTTATCTTGTCCCTAAATGTAGGTTAAACACTAAGACAACCCCCTACGAGTTTGTGGTTTTACTGATTTGCCAGCTTATCACTACTGTTTATCATGTTGCACTTCCCTGTCATGCTTGACACAGTGGGGATACGGATTTTGAAGAAATTCATTAACAGACAGCCATGAACAATCAGTAAAAGCATTTTTAACCGTCATTGACTTGGTCACATCGGGGATTTGAAGATAAAAGTACAAAATAATTTAAATTGTAAATTAAATGTCCGCGACTGAATGTGACGTCATCACTGGGAGTGTTGCCGAACCATTGATTTGTCCATCCATCCATTATCTATACACCGCTTAATCCTCATTAGGGTCGCGGGGGGGCTGGAGCCTATCCCAGCCGACTTAGGGCGAAGGCAGGGGACACCCTGGACAGGTCACCAGTCTGTCGCAGGGCCACACTGAGAGACAGACAACCAAGCACACTCACATTCACACCTACGGACAATTTAGAATCACCAATTAACCTCAACATGTTTTTGGACTGTGTGGGAGGAAGCCGGAGAACCCGGAGAGAACCCACGCTGCACGGGGAGAACATGCAAACTCCACGCAGAAAGATTCCAGTGCCCCGACCGGGACGCGAACCGGCAACCTTCTTGCTGCGAGGCAACAGTGCTACCAACTGCGCCACCTTGCAGCCCCCATTGATTTGTATTTTTTAAATTTTTATTCACAGAGTAACTACAATGAACAGTTAATAAATTAAAGTATCCCAGTGTCAGCGTATGCTCTGATAACTACATCACTTCCTGTCCCTCCTCCTGACTCACAAAGCTCCGTGAAGACTCAAGTTTTCCTCCATTCTCAACATGAAGCCATCACATGTCATCATCACCATCATCACTGTCATCTGTATTAAAGGTAACAGTTATTATTGAAGCTACTTTTTGCATTTAACTTGGGAATCAAACCCTAAAAATCTGGAATATTCACATCCATCTCTGCAGAGTGCTTATTTCTTACTGCTAGCCTCCCAAAAATTCAATCCAGGCGCAGCATAGTGTTTTATCCAGTAGCAATACATTACACCTAATAAAAACCATTTCTTCATCTTTTTACAGGCGTTTACCTCGATAACCAAAAACTAGTGTTTCAGTCTCCAGCTGACCTGTTTTGGACACCAAGCAATGAAGTCAAACTGAATTTAACACATCAAATCCAGAGCTATGATACGATCCTCTGGTACCAGCGTTCACCAGGAGACACCTCGCTGAAGCTCATCGCCTATATTTATTATAAAACTATAACAGTTGAGCCGGCGTTTCAAGGCCGCTTCGATGTGAGCGGAGACGGGGAGAAAGCAGTTTTTCTTCACCTCCTGAACCTGAAACACCCCGAAGACACCGGAGAATATTTTGGAGCAGCACGTAGACACAGTAACAAAGATCGTGACTCTGCTGTACAAAAACCTCCATCAGATAACAGCAACCAGACAGGAAACCACTGACACCATGTGACACACTATCAAAGCAGTTTTCATTATAGTTGTTAACAATAACAACTTTAAAGTAAAGGATGGTAACAAAGATTAAATTGCTACAGTTACAAAATTTGACAATTACATATAAAATGATTTATTTTAGTTATATTTTTCCATGTTAAAGACGCACATAAAAGTTGTCTGTCATTCTCAGTTCTGATTATCAATATTCACGACAACATCGGTGACCTCTTACAGTTGTGTGAATAAGTGCATGTAAAATCCCCGGGGGAGTAATCAACCGACAAAATAGAGCTCTGTAACATGTAAATATAGTGACAAGGTGTGTTTTACTTGAGGTATGATCCTTTTCTAAACCAAACAAAGCAGTTTCAGTAGCGAAAGTCAGCCCATGATTACGTGAAAATGAAAGTAAACAGAGTTAAAAGCAGAAAATCCAGATGAGATTTGAGTTTAAAAAAAACACTAGTACAATTAAAACACTCATTTTTTTCTTTGCCACTATCAAATGAGCTGATAACGGCCTATTGAGGATAAGTGTAACTTCAATGGGTTGATGATCTGTAACATAGGTCATCTTTTTCTATTTAAGCTAAATGTGCGTTTTGTTTTCTAGTCATGTAACCTTGTTTTTATGCTGGAAGCCACACAATATAAATTTCACACTGGGCTCAGTTGATGAGTGAAAAAAAGCTGTACGTAGTTGCCTTTTAGCTCAACTCAATTTCATGGTAACATTACTGGGCATACTCAATTATATAGGATGTCATAGATCATAATGCCTGTCAAGCTAAAAGTTTGCTGTTTCGTTCATGATGTTCTCTGCAATTCGGTGGAAAACACATGTGCATCTACCATAAAAATCTAAAATAAACTTCCACATACAAAGAAAAGCAAGAAATCCTCATACCGGAAAAGCTGGCAACAAATGATTAATCAGTTATCCAATCAATAGCTGGATAACTGTCCCCTTGCAGCATCGGCAGGGGCTCATGCAGAAAAATATAATTTTGGCAGCAGCTTACTGCACGTTATGGATTCATTTATCTTCTCAAGCCCCTGAATAATAACTCATAATGGGCATCATTAGAGACAGCAAGAGAATCTCATCCATCGTAAGTAATATACTGGAAAAAAAAGGAATAAAATGGATCAAAAAAGAGACAAGAATCACATTTGTAGCTGAGGCAAGTGGCCTCTTCAGGTCAAACAAATGATAAATGTCCTCTTTCAGCAGTAAAGTTGGAATAAGCATGGTATTCTTGGATTAAAAAGTCTACTTAAAGTTCTTTGATTGAAATTCAGAATCCAAAATCCAGCACAGCAGGGTCAGTGTTAAACAAATTCAGCCGATAGGTGGAGGCACAGCACATGGTATGAAGCTTTCATCATGAGGATGTGGTGACGAATTAAACCAACATCCTACCTCGTGATGTTCACTCTCAGAGCAACACGTCTCGAACATCAGTGCCTGACAATGTCTTCATCTATGCAAACCTTTTCAGTTCTCTTTATATGTTTTTTTTGTAAGATGTTTATTTTTTTCTTTAAAAAATTTTATCGTTATTTTGTATTGTTATCTATATGACATGCTAAACAACCATGCTATATAATAAATAGTGTCTTGTTTTTGTTTGTCACCAGTAACATTTTTTTATCATCTGCTCTCTCCACAGGTCAGGTGAGTGCTGTCACATTTCAGCAACCTCATCCTCAGGTAGTGAAGGAGAAAACTGAAGTCGAGATAAGCTGCAGTCACGATGATGCAACACTTCAACTAATGTACTGGTACCAGCAAAGAAAAGACAGTCCGTCTCTGATTCTCATTGGGTATGGATATGATATTGGCCAACCAATCTACGAGGGTCAGCTGGAGGAACAATTCCAGCTGAGAAGACAAAGCACGACTGCAGGAACTCTTGTCATTCGCAGAGCAAACCTGTCTCACTCTGCAGTGTACTACTGCGCTGCCAGCCCACAGTGATGTGGTTTAATGCCACTCCCTCACTAAAAACCCCGTCTCCCTTTTGACTCACTAAACAAAGCTGTTTCGCCCGCAACAGCGCAACTCACACAAGGATGTCTCCAGTTGTGATCGTATATCTTCTTTTCGTTCCCTCATGCAAGTCGAGCAAAGTTTACAAATAATCATATTAATTATACACAGCACTTCTATTTGCGTTTCTTTCAATGTGACTATTTTTAATTTGTGCTTTTTGTCTCCACAGATCAAGCAAAGAACGTTTTATTTCAAGCGTCTCATCCCAGAATAGTCAATGAAGCAGCCATGGTAGAGATTCCATGCAGTCATAATGATAACAGCCTCTATTTGATGCTGTGGTACCAGCAAAAACAAAGCGGTGTAATGAACCTGATTGGAAGCAGCTACTCTGGCAATGACCCCAGCTACGAGAAGCAGTTCAATCATGGGATTGAGATTACAAGAAAAGATGTCTCCACAGGATCTCTGGTTATTCACAGTGTGAATTTATCAGATTCAGCGGTGTATTTCTGTGCTGCCAGTGCACAGTGATGTGGTTTACTGTCACCCCGCTACAAAAAACCTTGTTCCTATTTGCTTCTGTCAAGGCTGGTGGAATTTGCCTCAAAACAGCTAAATTACTGCTTTGACATGAACAATACAAACTGACTGATTCTGAATCTACAATATTGCACCAGTAGATCACATAGTCTGACTATGGGAAGGCTGAAGGATAAAAAAATATTAAAGCTGTCATAAAAAGTTCCATCTTTGAGCACACATTAACAAAATAAATAAATCGATGATTCAGAAGTCAACAAGTGATATTTTCTGAACCATATGAAGTTGCATGTCACAACACAAAACTATACCAGTTTGTTTTATTAACTATATTACATATATTAGTTTACACTGCCAGTTATTTTTTGAGAATCATTTTGCAGTTTCAGAACTCTGCTCTACTTCTAGCTATCTACCAATATTCTTGTTTCTGCAGTAAAATTCATCATATCTATTTATTATTACTATTGTTGTTGAATATTTACTGTTGTTGCTGATGTTGCGTTGGTGTTGTGTTGTTTTTCTAGTATAACAATTTCCCTGAGGTTTACACCGAAGGGATGAATAAGGTTTAATTCTATTCTATTCTATTCTATTCTAACTACTCAATCAGTTATGAAAATGTAATGAAAATAATTAGTTTTTGTTCTTTTTTTCCCCCTCCATATTTCAACGCACCTATAGTCAGTAATTATTTGATTTATTTTTAATATTTCAGATTCTGAATCATTGATATGATGATGAAATAACTCAGTCAATTATATTCTTTGATGTCTTGATGAGGTGATGCTACAATTCCTGGCATCTTTGAAAAGAATAAACTTCTTGAAAGAGTCCCAAGAAATCAAATGCAGAGCTGGAACACTGACATTCAGACTTAAAATGTGGTGAACTTTTCACGTGACCAGGAAAGTTTAAAAACACTCAAATATTATATTTAACTATCTGGTTAGATTGCAGCAGAAAAGACAATAAAACAAAAGTAATAATAACTTCCAGCACCCAGCCAACATTACATCAAACACAGAAGAGGTGAGGAGAGCTAGGACTAGTTAGCCAGCAGCCTCACACTGTTAGCGACACATGCTAACCGTTAGCTTAGCCGTGCACACAATAACCACTGACAACCACTTGCCGTGCTTGTTAGCTCAAGCTAAATCAGCACATTCTTACCTTAGTAGACTAAAGATGTGGGTTCTGCCGTTTCTAACAAGAATACACCTCCTGGAAGAGTTCCAAGCTCCCAAAAGAAGGTCAATAAAACTCCAACCCTGTCACAAAGGGCGCGTTTGTGGCCAACGGTCAAGTTTATCAGAGAACCATAAATTCTCCTCACAGGTGTCCTGAAGCCACATAATAAAACTGTAGCTTCCGTCTAAGGGTCTAAACAAACAGCAGAAGGTGTCTCTCAAGCTTTAAAATATTAACCGGTTATTAGTAGATTTATTCCCGTAAAAAGCATCTCAAATTCCATCCAGGAAGTTTCAGCCTTGAGTGGGCGGAGCAAAGCCCATTAAAGGACCGTCATTTAAGGTTTGAACCAATCACGCTGTAGCATGAGCAGCGTTTCATCCAATCACATCAGCAGGTGATTTAAATTAATCATTTGGATCATATGTTATCATGTTGACATTAGACACATTAGACATGGGGATTTTTTTTTTTAGGTTTAAATACCAGTTTTATATATCAATTTCTATTAGGGTATGGTTTTATTTATGTAAAAGATGACAAAATATAATTGAATATAATGCTATAATGTGTTTATATTCTTTATTCTTATTCTTCTTTAGGTCTGGAACAGGTGCTCAATACATTTCACTGATCCTTATACTGTGTATAATTGCGTTTGTGACAAATCAAGGCCTTGAATTTTGAATCTATAATTATTCTTCTGCTTATCAGCTTTTCTTATCTAATATTATTCGTGCTACGTTAACATATGCATGTATGACTTTCTCTTTTGTCCTCTTTTGTGTGTTTTGTTTGGGATTTTGAAATGTACCTATTAAAACCAAAGAAACACTGAATCAATTTATAAAACCCTGGATTTTAATAGCTCACGTTTAAAACTCTCTGCACATTCATAATGTTTCGCTCATGCGGTGCCTACAAAAAGTATTCACCCCCTTGAAAGTTCTCCCTGCTCATTGTTTTTCAATGTTGAATTGTGGTCAATTTAATTTAGATTTTTGGACAAGACAATATTCTATTATGTTAAAGTGCAAACATAATTCTACAAAGTAATGTCAGTTAATTAAAAATATTAAATGCAAAATAAGAAATTGCATAACTATTCAATTATTCAACAACTGGAAATTAAGATACTAAAACAGACAACTATTGAACTACTGATATATTATGTACAGTTCCAGAGACACTGATGCTGTTCTGGAGGTGCATGTTGGCCCAACACCCTACAAATGTATACAATGTGTTGATGATGATGATGTTTTTTCCTTTAATTTGTCACTTTTATAGACAACCACATGTATGTTATGACAATGTAACCAGTCTTTGGTGCTAATGAAAGACTGCAGATAACCAAAACCATAAAAACTATGAAATGATAAGCAGAGCATGTTGAGGTGGTACACACAGAACATTTCAGTCAAAAATATACAGTGAAATTATGTAATAAAAAATGAAATCACACAGGAATTACACATATCGGCAGCGTTTCAGCTTCTCATGTTCTTTCTGGAGTCACTCTTGACATGCTTGTAGTGCACCTTTTTTTGTTTTTTTATTACCATGCCGTTTTAGAAACAACAGGGTCACAAGGAAGCAGAAACAGGCAGATAATATAGTTTTGATCAGCTGCCAGCAGAGGGAGAAGGCAGGAAGAGGAGGTGTGGTCCAGAGAAAAGGGAGGATGTATATAATTTTATATGTGTAATTTGTCAGACTAGAGCAGCTTGTTGATGCTCCATCTCCAATACTGGATTTCAAATTATGTTATAACTGTAAATTTGATATGGAAATAGATATAAGTTGCTTTTTCTTTTCGCAAATCTTGATTTAGGTTTTCAGAATGTCTCCAGCTTTCTGCACATTTGGATTTGTATTGCTTTTGCTTCCAAGTAAGCTTCCGTCAAGACCTTTTGCCGTATTATGCTACAGTGGTTGAATTCAAACTTCACCTCTCATGTGTTGACTTTATTTTACAGGAAAAGTGGAGAGTGTTACGTTTCAACAGTCTCCTCCTCAAGTCGTTAAAGAAGGGACTAAGGAGCTGAAGATTGACTGCAGTCACGATGGCAGCAGCTTACAAGTAATGCTGTGGTACCAACACAAGCAGAGCAGCCGGTCCATGAGCCTCATCGGGTACACAATCCTCCAGACTGACCCAGTCTACGAGAGCCAGTTTCAAGGCAGATTCCAGCTGAAAAGAGACAACACAATGAACGGATCCCTGATCATCAACACGGCGACGCCGTCAGACTCAGCCGTGTATTTCTGTGCTGCAAGTACACAGTGATGTGGTTTCTTACCAACGCTTCACCAAAAACCTCCCGCAGCAAACTAATGGCAGCTGCTGGCAGGTTCAAGCACAAGAGAGTTGAAGATGTTCTGCTGTTTATTGAGGGAGACTTTTCTCGATTAATCAGTTAGTTGTTTGGTCTGTAGAATGTCAGAAAAATGAGAAAAATGTTAATCAGTGGTCCCCAAATGTTTTGTCTATAACACAAATATATTCGTGTTAATCCAGTTTACTGTCATAGAGGAGCAATGAAGCCAGAAAATATTCAACTATAAGAAGCTGGAATCAGAGAAATATGACCTTTTGACCCTTTTTTTCTTTATTTATGAATGAATGGATTAATTGATTAATCATAATACTGAACGTTTTGAAGAAAATGTCTTATTGCGATTGTTCTAACAAATATTGCACTTTGCTAAATCATTTTTTAAAGCTTTACTTCAATGTTGATTGTGTAACAGATATAAAACACATCCAATTATATAACCGCTCTATATTGTAATACAAGGATGAAGCGGATTTATTACATTATTAAAACACATAAGAGATCGAACAGTTATCACAAAGGCTGTATTCAGTTAATTTAAATTAAAAAAAATAAATAATTCTGATAAGAAAATATTCGGAGGTTTGTGTTAATAATCTCTGGCATTGAAATGACTCAGGAGCAGCAACATTTAGGAACTACACATTCTGCAATGAACTGAAAGTAATAAAGAAAAATAAACTCTTGGTCCAGCTCTTGGTTAAATTGCAGTCTTTGTGATTTGCAAATTGACTCAACAAATTAATCACTACACATCTAGTAAGTAATAAGTAACTGAATTGGCCTTTAGTTATTTATTGGAAATAATATATCTATTAAACTGTACACACACACACACACACACACACATATACACATATATAATGTGATAATGATTGTAATAAACTTTCACGCTTTACTTTTTATGGTCTGCTGTTTGTAAATGAAATATTTACACCCACTTCCTGCTGACTGAGGTGTGACCTCATGTTAAACCCTTATATATATATAGTCTCACTTTCAGTCCAGACGGTATTTTATTGCATTTAATTTAATACATTTAATCTATCTGCTAAATGCATGACAATTGCAGCATAAAAAGTATGCATTTGAACACAAAAAAATAAAGTTCTGAGAAAAAGTTCTGAATAATAGTCAGCAGAGTAAAGAATATCTGCAGCACTCTGATTTTGAATGTAAAAATCTTCTATTAATACATGTGTAAATCGATGAGATTCTACATCTGGGTGATATGCTGTTGAACCCCCGTTTGTCCATGAAAAAAATGAATAAAAACAATATATGAAATCAGAGTGCCTCAGGCAGTCTTTGGAGTGTCAACCATTACACAGGACTCCCATTAATAAGAAGTGGGACAGTCATTATTTATTCATTCTTTACTGAGAAGATTTTGTATTTTCTTGACTTTTAAACCAGAACTTTTGTTTGTGACCAAGAGCACCATTTGCTATTATTGTTAATATATTCATTTGAATCAAATCAGTGAATGAAAATCAGCACAAAACACTGGTAACATCAGTTTAAAAACACTGATTCCTCTTCAGAACTATTGTGCACTATAAGCGTTGGCTGTTTATGAGACGATACTTCCTGTCACGTGATCATGTGACCTCACCCTGTGTGAACAGATTGACGTTTGCATCAGCAGCATCATTCAGCTGCAGACGGCTCATCACCAACATGTTTGTCAGACTCATTTATCTGTCGCTTTTTATGCAATCAGGTGAGTACTGGTAACTCATAATGGATGTAGTGGCTAAGCAGCACATCAAGATCACCTCAAATTTATATATCTGAGCAAATTCACTTGGCTTTATATTGAGATGAGACGCAATTACACTTTATCCTTCATGTGCTGCAGGTCTCACTGTTGTTGTTCTGCAATCTGGGGAACAAATATGTCACCAAGGAGACACTAGGACTCTGGAGTGCAGTCTGGGTAAAGGATTTAGCATGGCCAGCCACACAATGTACTGGTACCGACAAAGCCACCACGGAGCCCAAATAGAGTATCTCACCAAGGAGCACGAGACACCTTTGGGCCGCTTCAAGTCGTCGATCAACACAGCTGAAAATAAATTCTCTCTTCAAATTAGTGAGCTGCTTGTGAATGACAGCAGCGTCTACTACTGTGCTGCCAGTCACAGTGATGCACTCAGAGCAGGCAGTCATACAAATAACAAGACAGATGGCAGGAAGGAGCTGTGGTTTGTTTGATTTTAAAGTATTAGAGTGCACTTGTACTAAAGGAGGAACGATGAGGGGAGTCAGTGTCACGTAAGGTGCCTCTCCAGTAGTTGAGTTAACCTCCAAAGTTACATATTTAAATAGTTTTTTTTTAATCCATGAAAACTCCTTAATTCAATTCAATTTTATTTATATAGTGCAACTCACAACATATGTCATCTCACAGCGCTTAACATAGTAAGGGGAAGACCTTACAAATTTTAAACTGAGATCCCAACATTCCAAAATTGTTTTTGGATTCCCTCTGAGCAAACAGTCGGCAACAGTGAGAAGGAACAAAAAAAAAAAAACACCTCAGACAGAACCAGGCTAAGGAAAGGTGGCCATCTGCCTCGACAGGAGGAGGGGTTGGGGTGGTTACAGTAGGATAGCTAAACCCAGCTAGCACTGCACATTCCCACAACATTGGCTAACATTGTAGCATTTTTTTTTGTAGAAAAGCATCAAAATTGAATGTTTTAAAGAACATTACTATTTAAAGTAATTTTCCTATAAAGTTAAAATAAAGGTCCAATCTCAACATTCAGAGAACATTGTCAGGAACACAGATGATGTTCCATGATAACAAAACAGGAATGTTCTCAAACCAACATTCAGAATATGTTTTCCAGATGTTCTTGAGGTGGAACACTCTTCTTGCAATGTTCTAATGGTGTTTTAGGGATGATGTGGAGGGAACACATTATAGAACATTTGCCCACTAATAACAGAGAAAGGTTGTTCTCGATGCAACATTTTTGATGCAACATTCAGAAAACATTAAGATGTTGTCGAGACCTCAGATGACAGAGTGTTCTTTGTCAGACTTTCCTGTGATGTTGTATTTTAACAAAAGTGGAACATTCTGGCTGTGATGTCCTAAGGACAATTTGAGGATGTTGCTGATGGAACATGTTATGGAATCTATACAACATTACCACAATGTTACATGACAACAAAGAAAGAACGTTGTCAGAGCAACTTTCAGTTTTCAGAATGTTTGAGCATCACAGTCTACCAATGTTATCACCAAACATTTTTAGAACATCTTTAGTTACTCTACCTTTGAGAAGAACATTCTGGGAACTGAAAGGAAACTTCCCAATGAAAGCATTAGTAGAACTTTGCAGAATTTTCTCAGAACATTCTTGGCACAAAAAAATCCAGCTGGGAAATGATTTCAATGTAAATTTCCACTGTTTCTTTTTGTTTTTTGTAGAAGGCATGGATCTATGTGGTCACTGCCTCTTTGTCCACTCAGGGCAACTCAAGCACACTAGCTAAAGGCTAATGGCCAATTTATGCTACACAAAGGTACACCTGACAGAACTTTAATCATCTACCCAAGTCTGCAAAGGTCAAACTGCCATGACCATGACCCCTTCAGCAACTCCACAGGGGGGGAACAGCTGCTCGACTGTTCTACAGCTGGGATGGAATCCACATTGCTCCTCCTGGATCTGAGGTTCTACAATCAGCTCCCTTTCAGCACCCTGAAATAACTTTCATAGGGAGGCTGAGAAGTGTGATACCTTGATAACTGGAGAGCCCTCTAAAGTCACCCTTTTTGGAAATGAGAATCACAACCCCAATCAGCCACGTCCCAACAGTGTCCAGAGCCTTCAGCATCTCAGGGTGAATCCCATCAACACCTGGCGTAGACAAGGCTTTCGAAACTATCTCCTCGAAACAGGACATGTTGGCCAGGTTTTGGAGTTCCTCAAAGTGCTCCCTCCACCTTCTAACAATCTTTAGTCTGGGTCAACAATTCATGGACCTGGATCAGGTCCTGCCTTCCCATTCAGAGTTGGCAGACGGTTTTCCATTTCCCACCAAAAGTCCTGTGTGCCAACCAAGCCCACCCAGATGGCTTCTCTTACCACCATTGTCCACCAACAGATTCTGTCGCCATGACAGGCACCAATGACCTTTTGGCTACAGCTTCCAACATCCGCCTTGATAATGGAGGTCTTGAATGAAGCCATTTACATAAACTGTCATCTAAATCTACGACTTTCACAGTGCTTAAGCTGCAGTAGCAACTTGGTGACCACTAGGAGTCTGCAGAGAAACTTCAGGCTTTCTGCTTACAAAGCTGAGGAGACATAAATAGTATTTGATTTCTGAGCAGTGAGATACGCTAGATACACTGAGTTGTGATGATAAACTCTGAGGATGAGGCTGCTCTTGGTTGCAGTTCTTCACTGGTATGAACATCTATATTCAGTTAGAGGACAACCACAGCTTAGTTTTCCTTGGTGAATTTGATTATTTACTTGCCTTTTTTAAGAAATGTTTTCCAGATTTCTGCACTGCTGCGAACATTCAACAGCCTCAATTTGCAGTCAAAGGAGTCGTGAATGTGACTTTGCAGTGTGAACAAGACAAAAAGTTGTCGAGAAACTGGAGCTAATCATGAACATTATGTTGTTGTAGGTGTCTGGGCCCGCGAAGGTCCTTTCAACGTGTCTAAGTACACCATGTCCCGGCCTTCTTTGCTTGATACCACCCAGGAGATTCACCCAGTAGAGGCTGAAGACTCGGCTGTTTATTATTGCGCCTTTAGAGGACCACAGTGGTTCAGAGAGCATCAGTGACGAAACAACAACCTGAAGAGGAAGTGAAGATGAGGAGGAGAAATGAAAGAAAAAAGATAAAGTGTGCAAACTCATCAGTGTGACATTAAAATATGAAAGAAATCTTGCAACAGAAACTAATATGAAACATTTATTGATCCATTTAAAGGTAGAACGGCCTCCTCACAGTTCAATCATGTTTCTGCTGCACCACAAAGCTGATCTGTTCAGATAAGTGAGCAGGTGTCAGCAGCACAACGATTGCTATTGTTCAGTTTTAGCGCCCTGAACAGTTTCTCATCAATCAGTCTTTTTATTTATTTATTTATTTTTTTTAGATTTTTGCTGTAGTTCTGCATCCAGCTTGGTAAAATAAAGATCAGATTTAAGAGTCATCACACACTGACCTCTGCTGGGTTGATTTGAGATTACATGCAAAAAAAAAAACCAAACTCTGGCGCTTTCTTGGGACTCAACCTGAACAGTCAAGTACTAAATTATACTAAAAAGTTAATACGGATAAGATGCAATTTATAAACATCACCTCTGCAGAACAGCTGCATTATTCAATCATAAAAAGATTCAAGTCTGTGACAATTAAGGAAGCCATATTTCATGTTGATAGTGCCTTTTCTAATGGTTTATGGTCTGTTCTGATGTTTATCATGTATTATCTGATGTTTTTTGGTCTCTTCTGATGTTTTAGATGTCTTTTCTAATGTATTTATTGCCTTATCTGATGTTAGTTCCAAATTCTGTATTATCTTTTTGATGCTTTTAATGTATTTTCTACTATTTTTAATCACTTTTTTGATGTTTTTTGAGCGGATCTTATCTTTTTAATAATTTTCTAATGGTTTATTGTCTTCTCTGATGTTTCAGATGGGTTTTCTGGTTGTTTCGATTGAGTTATCTGATGTTTTTAATGCTTTTTTTTTTTAAGGGTTTACTGTCTTTTATAATGTTTTTCTTTTTTGTAGTATCTTTTTAAATTTGCTTTTGAAACTGCTCTGGTTTCAACTCCACCACATTTCTGATGGCCTACTTTAGCTAGTAGTTATATCATTACTGCAAAATATATATAACAACATAAATGGTATAAGATCTGTTGATATGATGAGTGGACTCTGACAAACTGGATTTATTTTGCAGTCGAGTCATGTAGCACAAATGTAACTTTTTATGCAGAATGGCACATAACAGGAAAAAAATCCTATTTTGAGTCATTATTTTCCTCTTATCAGAAATTCAATTATAAAATAACTGTATCAACCTTCATATGTGCTACTGTGTGCAACTGATGTCATGCTGACCATGAAGTTAATTGTTTGTCGTCACTTTTAAAATCATTTTAAAGACATTTGTTGCCTCAAATTTTGAAAAGAACATCCCCTACATCATCATCATCATCATCATCATCATCTCCTCCTCGCTGATATCTGATTGGATAAAGATCTGTGACCAGCAGAGACGTCTCCTCCTCTGAGCAGCTATAAACTAAAACCAGGTTTCTCTTCCTTCTTGCTTCTTTTCTTAGCTCTCACAGAAATAGCAGCCGTCGGTTTGGAGCTGCACAGCTGCTGCCGCAGAGATGGAGGCTGAGATATGGCGGCTCTGGGTGGGGGAAGGAGCCGACGCACAGCGAAGAAGGCACCAGGTTTTTGTATGATGCTTTTTCACCGTGGGGACAGGGGGCCACGGTGATACAACTCCATAGAGCCGCCGTACAAAAACCTCCTCCATTCACTTCCATTGTGTCGACGGCTGCATGCAGCTAAAAACCCTCTGCAGAGCAGAAAAATCAAAAATCTGAAGGCAGGCGGGATGCTGGGACACTCTGGCACTGAAACGTCACTTTATAAGCAGAGATTTGGATGAAAAAAGTTTTTTAAAACTTTTCAGTTCATAGTTGAAGTCGTTGAAAGTTTGCTTTACTTTTCTTGAAAAACACAAAACTAATGTGGACATTCTGAAGCTCAGCCTGCAGGTTTCAACCGTCTTCATCCTCTGGATTATTCAGCTGTGTCTCAACAGCACAATTATGGAAAGTTTGGAGACTTTTTGCTGAAGGAGGCCTTCAGTGTGACACTGGAACTGAAGCTTACTTTGGAAAAGGGACAAAACTCACAGTTTTGGGTAAGTTGGAGCTTCACAGCTTCAGTTCACTGCATTCGACTTAAAATAGTGAAAATGTTGGTGTGAAGGTTGAAGAAAAAACTGGTTTTAATCAAAAAGCTGAAATATTGAGCAGAACTCAGAACACTGTGACCTACAATGAACCTGCTTACTTTGGAAAAGGAACCAAATTGACCGTTTTAGGTAAATATTCAACTTTAATTCTGTGTTCTGATGGAATCTACATTAGTTTAGAGACTCAGTGTTGATAGAAGAATGAGTGAAAACCTAAAAATGAAAAATCTGGCAGAAAACCTATTTCATGTTCAGTGTTTTTGCACCGTGAACCAGTACCAACCTGCTTACTTTGGAAAAGGAACCAAACTGACAGTTTTAGGTAAATATTCCACTTTAATTCTGTGTTTTGAAGAGTTCTACTTTACATTAAAGTCTTAGAACTGACAGACGAATTGATAAAAAGTTTAATAAGATCATTCTGTCAGAGAAAGAGTTTCATGTTCAGTGTTTTTGCACTGTGACCCAGGGCACCCCTGCTTACTTTGGAAAAGGAACCAAACTGACCGTTTTAGGTAAATATTTCATTTAAATTCTGTGTTCTGATGGAATCTACATTAGTTTATGGACTCAGTGTTGACAGCAGAATGAGTGAAAACCAAAAAATGAAAAATCTGTCAGAAAACCTATTTCATGTTCAGTGTTTTTGCACCGTGACCAACACTGAACCTGCTTACTTTGGAAAAGGAACCAAACTGACTGTTTTAGGTAAATATTCCACTTTAATTCTGTGTTTTGAAGAGTTCTACTTTAGATTAAAGTCTTAGTATTGACAGATGAATTGGTAAAAACCTAAAAGATAATTCTAGGAAAGAAACAGTTTCATGTTCAGTGTTTTTGCACTGTGACCACCACTGATCCTGCTTACTTTGGAAAAGGAACCAAACTGACAGTTTTAGGTAAATATCTCATTTAAATTTTGTGTTCTGATGGAATCTACAGTAGTTTAGAGTCTTAGAACTGACAGAAGAATGAGTGAAAACCTAAAAATGAAGATTCTGTCAGAAAACCAGTTTCATGTTCAGTGTTTTTGCACCGTGACCCAGACTGAACCTGCTTACTTTGGAAAAGGAACCAAACTCACCGTTTTAGGTAAATATCTCATTTAAATTCTGTGTTCTAATGGAATTTAAATTAGTTTAAAGTCTTAGAAATGACAGAAGAATAAGTGAAAACCTAAAAATGAAAATTCAGTCAGAGAACAAGTTTGATGTTCAGTGTTTTTGCACTGTGACAACGCCAACGAAGCGTACTTTGGAAAAGGAACCAAACTCACTGTTTTAGGTAAGAAAAGAACCATTAAAATCCCACTAATGTAAGAAGATGTGTGACTGAAGCAGTGCAGAGAGACACTCTAAGTATGCAGGTGTTTATAATTCAAGTTGAGCTCAGTGCTTTTTGACATTAAGCTTCAGCGCTGTGCCAACTATGAAGCTTATTTCGGCCGGGGAACTAAACTGACTGTTCTCGGTGAGTAAAACTTTCTGCTGATGGACTGAACTCTAAAACAAGTTAAAACAAATCTGTTCTATAAGGTGGGGGAAGAAAAGTGTTGTTTTGAACAAAATCCAAACTTTAATGCAGCAAATGTTCTTTAGGATGTAAGAAAAAGTGATGTTAACAGAAAAATCACCTAAAAACCAACTTAATCTAATGAACTTCAGTAAAAGCAGCATCTCAGGCTGTTTTTACTCTGATCAGCTTCACTGTGCCTCTGGTTGTTATGAAGCTTACTTTGGTGGAGGAACAAGATTAACTGTTTTAGGTAAGAAATCTATTGTTGTTATTGTCTGTAAAAGGATCTTTGGTGAGAAACCAAATGTGTGAAGCTTTAAACTCCAGCAGCTCTTTGACAAACTTAGTGCACTGAAGCTCTTTATAGTTTCAGCTCAGAGCTTTTTGTCCTGGAGCTTAAACACTGTGTCAGAACGAAGCTTATTTCGGCCAGGGAACTAAACTGACTGTTCTCGGTGAGTAAAACTTTAGAATTTCTTCTTTTGACTGAATGTGTAGAAGCAAAACTCATAAATGCAAAAATATTGAATGGAAAATACTTTGTTTTATGTTAAACTTGTAAAATAAAACAGTCAGCAGTGCAGCTAATGTTGGATCAGGATGTTGGATCATTAATACAAGAGGCTAAGTTTTAAAGAAACTATGAAGTGAAAGCAGCATCTCAGGTGGTTTTTACACTGATCAGCTTCACTGTGACACTGGTGGTGGTGAAGCTTTCTTCGGTGGAGGAACTAAATTAACTGTTTTAGGTAAGAAATCAGTTGAAATTGTCTCACTATTAAGTCCAGTTTGAGTTTGGCTCAATGCTCTTTGCTTTTAAAAAGTGTCAGAACAAAACTTATTTAAGTGAAAAGTAACAATGAGCTTGTTAATTGAGAGGTTTGTACTGCAGGTATTTTGTCGAAAACAGGCTGCAGTTGTTGGTTTTGAGGAAGAGTTACATTAATTGGAAAACTATAAAACTTAGCAGCAAAGTCAAAGCAGCACCTTGAGATGTTTTTACACTGATCAGCTGCACTGTGACGAGTAGTGTTGGTGAAGCTTTCTTCGGTGGAGGAACTAAATTAACTGTTTTAGGTAAGAAACTAAAATGTGTGACAAACAGCATTGGAATAGTTGAGCTTCTGTAGGAAACATGCAGCACTGGTCTAGTTTAAATTCAGCTTTTTTTAAACTCATACAAAACTGTTCCTGGAAGGTTGAAATTAAACTTAAAAAGCTAATAATGAGGTTTGTATTGGAGATATTGTGTAAAAAACAGGCTGCAGCTGTTGGTTTTAGATGAAAGTTAGAAGCAAAGTAGAAGCAGCATCTTGAGCTGTTTTTACACTGATCAGCTTCACTGTGACTTTGGTGGTGGTGGTACAGAAGCTTACTTCGGTGGAGGAACTAAATTAACTGTTTTAGGTAAGAAATCAGTTGAAATTGTCTCGATCTTAATTCCAGTTTGAGTTTGGCTCAATGCTCTTTGCTTCTAAAAAGTGTCAGATCAAAACTTATTTAAGTGAACGTGAGCAATAAGCTTGTTAATTGAGAGGTTTGTACTGCAGGTATTTTGTAGAAAACAGGCTGCGGTTGTTGGTTTTGAAGAAGAGTTACATTAACTGGAAAACTGTAAAGCTTAGCAGCAAAGTAAAAGCAGCACCTTGAGATGTTTTTACACTGATCAGCTGCACTGTGACTGGTGGTGTTGGTGAAGCTTTCTTCGGTGGAGGAACTAAATTAACTGTTTTAGGTAAGAAAGCAGTGGACATTGTCTTGCTCTTAAGTCCAGTTTGAGTTCAGCTCATTGCCTTTTGCTTCTAAAAAGTGTAAGAACTAAGTTTATTTCAGTCAAGAGATCAAACTTTCTTTTTTCTTGAAAGCTTAATAGACTTTATAATTAAGTTTGTGTGGAAGAAATTCCATAGAAACAGGCTGAAGTTGTTGGTTTTAAAGGAGAGTTACATTAACTGGAAAACTATAAAGCAAAGCAGCATCTTGAGCTGTTTTTACACTGATCAGCTTCACTGTGCCTCTGGTTATGGCTCTGAAGCTTACTTCGGTGGAGGAACTAAATTAACTGTTTTAGGTAAGAAAACAATGGAAATTGTCTCGGCCTTAAGTCCAGTTTGAGTTTGGCTCAATGCTCTTTGCTTCTATAAAAGTGTCAGAACAAAGCTTATTTAAGTTAAAAGTAACAATAAGATTGTTAATTGCGAGGTTTGTACTGAAGATATTTTGTAGAAAACAGGCAGAAGTTGTTGGTTTCAAAGGAGAGTTTCATGAACTGGGAAACTATAAAGCAAAGCAGCATGGTGAGATGTTTTTACACTGATGAGCTTCACTGTGACTCTGGTGGTGCCAATGAAGCTTTCTTCGGTGGAGGAACTAAATTAACCGTTTTAGGTAAGAAAGCAATAGAAATTGTCTCGATCTTAAGTCCAGTTCAGCTCATTACCTTTTGCTCTTAAAACTGTAAAAACTAAGTTTATTTCAGTCTAAAGATCAAACTCACTTTTTCTTTAAGTTAAAACAAAGCTTAATAGGTTTAATAATTGAGGTTTGTGTTGCAGAAAAAACAGCCTAAAGTTGAGGGTTTTACAGGAAGTTCCATTTATTAGAAATCTAAAGAGCAAAGCAGCATCTCAGGATGTTTTTACACTGATCAGCTTCACTGTGACACTAATGCTGAAGCTTACTTCGGTGGAGGAACGAAATTAACCGTTTTAGGTAAGAAACTCACAAAACAGCATCATAACTGAAGAGTTCTTGAACATAAATCTAGTTAAACTTCAGGTCGATGCTTTCTGTTCTTAAAAAATGAGTCTTATTTTAGCCAGAGAATGAAACTGTTCTTATGAGGTAAAACTATATTATAAAGCTGCTAATGGAGACGTTTGTCCTGCAGATATTTAGTAATGACAGACTAAAGTTGTTGGTTTGGAAGAAGAGTTGCATTTATGATGAAGCTAAACAGTAAAGAAGCAAAGTAGAAGCAGCATCCTGGATTGTTTTTATACTGATCAGCTGCACTGTGACTCTGGTGTTGGTAATGAAGCTTACTTCGGTGGAGGAACTAAATTAACCGTTTTAGGTAAGAAAACATTAAATGTGGCTCAGAAATGTTTTGTCTAGAGGCACAAACAATCTCCATTAGTTATACCTGCTGCTAGATTAGGAAATCTTCGACTATATTAATTACAGAGAGTAAAAGGTAATAAGTGAGGCAGTAGGAAGAGTTTTTGTTGCAGCTGAAAGTCTCTGTGCTCCAACACCGAGGCTTACTTTGGAGCTGGAACTAAACTCACTGTTTTAGGTAAGAAAACAGCTAAAAGCTCATTGAATATAGTTTAGAAATGAATCTGTAAAGATGTTTTTAATACTGTCAAGATGAACTACAAGGCTCAAACAACCATTAATAGTTATAACTGCAACTAGATGAAATAATCTTCTGCTACAATAATTATCAAAAGTAGGAATAGATGAACTACAGGTTGGAGTATTTAAAGAGTGACAAAGTTAGAACAATCTGTTGGAACAAATAAAGGAGAGGCAGCAGGAAGAGTTTTTGTTCCAGCTGAAAGTCTCTGTGCTCCACCAGCGAAGCTTACTTTGGAGCTGGAACTAAACTCACTGTTTTAGGTAAGAAAAGCTGCAAAAATGAGCTGATCTCTGCTCCATTCTCAGGTTCACATGTTAGGACTTCAGGAAACATGTAGAATATGTTTAATATGTAGAGTAGAAGGTGTAAAATGTGAACGCAGGAGTTAGTTTGAGCCTGTAACACAAGTGTAAAAGTGGTTTAAAAGCTTTGGCTCCATGCCCAGATTATTCCTGTCAGTCGGTTCTTATCAGCTCTATGAAACACTGTGAGCTTCCAGTCAGAAGCTCACTTTGGAGCTGGAACTAAACTCACCGTTTTAGGTAAGACGCTAAAAAAAAAAATCATTCATTTGGATGCACTTGCAAACGTCTTGTTAATCATGCCTACTTGTTTTAATCTTTTCCTTGTACATAGACTTTAAATCAGAGTTTTATTGCTGTTGGCTCATATTTCTATTCAATTTAAGTGTCTGATTTCCACACGTGTGAAAAAATATCAGTTTATCTGAAGCAAATAGACAGTCTACAGGTGTCAGACGTGAAAGCTTGAGCAGTTTTTCTGCAGCTGTTTATCAGTGTGAACAACCTAGAGCCTGCTTACTTTGGCAAAGGCACCAAATTGACAGTTTTAGGTAAGAAAACTCTAAAATTCTTATGTTTTTATTTTAGTTTAATTTACTGTAAATCTACAAAACTGTTGTGTAAGCATGTTTTAAAGTTGTAATCGGTGATAGACGTGCAGGTATGCTGTTAAAATTACAGAGAAAAATATAAAATCTGTTGTACAAAATAAGAAAAATCTGTCAATTTGATAGAAAAAAAAAGCAACGTTTGGTTCAAACACTAGAACTTTTTATACTTAATAATCCATTATGACAGTTAATTCATTCTATTAAAGAAGTGAAATCTGTATTTTGAACTAAAACTAATCACAAAAGTCACAGCAGTAAACTGTATTTTATAGTTTTGTTTTTTTTAATGTGTCTTGCATGTAGCTTTGTGTGCAGAAGTTGTTCAGTTAATCTGAAAAAAAGAGCACAAAAAGATGTCAGACTTGAAAACTTGAGCAGGTTTTTCTGCAGCCTTGTATCACTGTGAACAACTATGAGCCTGCTTACTTTGGCAAAGGCACCAAACTGACAGTTTTGGGTAAGAAAATCCTGTTTTTTATCAACTTTTTTTTTACCCTAAATCTGAAAAACTACTGTTTTTAGTCTACGGCCCAGGTTTGTAGCAGGAAGAGGACTTTGTTACATCTAAAAAAACCTATTGTGAGTAAATTCCTTCTGTTAGAGCAGAGAAATGTGGCATTAAAAGGATTTTAAAAGAGCCACCACAGAACAGTAAAAGTTCACGAGTAAATTTCTGTAATCTCAGGTTCTAAATGTGTGTTTTTCAGGTAGTTGTGTTTAAAAGTTTATCTAAAACAGAGCAGACAGACAGATGTCTGAGCTGAAAGCTTGAGCAGTTTTTCTGCAGCCTTGTATCAGTGTGAACGGCAACTATCCTGCTTACTTTGGCAAAGGCACCAAACTGACAGTTTTAGGTAAGAAAATGAAAAAACTATAAACATCTGTGCTCATTTTTCCAAACCTAAATGTGAAAATGAATGTTAGGTTGTAAAACTCTCCTGTTTTAGTGTCTTAGTTTTGTGATTTTCCAGAGAAACCATCTGTTGCTGCAAACCTTAAACTCAAAACTGCAAAATTCAAGACAGACTGCGACTAAATCTTTCTGTTTTGTGGGTAAATATCTACATTAAGTTCAGATATTTTTACTTTTAAGCTGTGAAACAAAGACAACAAAACGTTAATTCATCTTTAAGGATGTCTGTGACAGCCAACAGCTGTTCAACAGATGCTAAAATGCTGAATTTGCTTTCTTTGCATAAGAAAGTGAAGTTGAAACCTATTTAAAATGTGATGTAGTGACTATAAGCGGTGCATAAGTCTGTCAGTTTTTGTGCCTGTGAGGTATCAGTGTGCTCTGAAACTTATCCTGCTTATTTTGGAGAAGGAACCAAACTCACAGTTCTTGGTAAGATCAATAAGTTCATTAAAAAGTTGTGTAAATTTAACTGTATATGTGCTGGTAGAATTACAACAAAAACTTCAGCATGTGCATTTTTAAACAAAAATAACAAAAAAAAAAAAACCTTAGTAGTTGTGGGCAGAAGTCGTTCACTTTATCTAAAGCAGAGAACAAAGAGTCTACAGGTGTACTGAAAAGGAGCCGTTAAAACTGTTCACAAGATCCAGCATTGTCTCATTTGCCAAACAGTATTTCATTACCTGCATTAACCACAGGGTCAGGTATGTGAGTAAACTGGCATTGTGTTGTATTTGTGTTGGTAAAAGTAAAACAACTTATGGATAAAGTAGAAGTCAGTCAGTTTTTTAC